CAAAGGAAAATCTTATCTTATTCCTCTGTTATAATTTTTCGAGGATATTACTTTTTATCTGGATAAAGGAAAGTGTGCAGACTTAAGAGTACTTAAATTGTCCAAAAGTTTTTGATAAGGTGAGAAACAAAAGATAAGAAACTCACATCAAAATGCATTGGACAAAAAGGCTAATTAATTGGATTGTTGTGAGATCACATGAGAGAAAGAAAAAAGTTGTTGTTATTAATGGAGTTCAGTCAAACCAAACCCTTGTTACTAGCACAATGCCTATGGGGTCAGTGCCTTGGCTTTAATATTTACATTAATGATACTGATAAAAGCACAGTCAGTAAATCAATAAAGTTTGCTGATGACAATAAGCTCTTGGGTATTTCTAGCTGTACTGAGGTATTACAAAATGACTTGGATCAATTAGTAAACCAGACTTATATATTGCAAATGATCTTTAATCACATTAATAGGAAGATAATGCATCTGAGCTATAGTAAATTGGATCACAATTATAATATAGAAAGAAACCCACTTAACAGCTTGACTAAAGAACTGGATTTTTGTACAGTGATGAATAGTAACTCAAGCCATCACATTTTAGGGTGCATTTATAAACATACTCATTACAAGTTGAAAGAAGTTGTTACCCCTTTCTCTATACACTTAACTAGTTATGTTAGGCCTTACATGGAATACTGAGTACCTATTGGTCTCATCTGTTGGGTTCCAAGGAGGGTTAGTACTAGGAATAGCACTATTATTACTCCAAGGATGGAAGGGAAATCTTATACAAGTAGGGTGAAAAGAAAGAATGTTATAAGGTGGTCTAACTGAAGCTTACAAGATTTTTAAACAGATCAATAGGATTATGGCTTCATTTCTTTTTGCTGTAACATGTTAAAAGAATGAGAAGACACAAGTTTAAGATTTGTAAAAGAAGCTGACGGTAACTTACAACTCAGTCATCCTGTTGGAGAAATCTAACAAAGCTGACGGTAACTTACAACTCAGTCATCCTGTTGGAGAAATCTAACAAAGCTGATGCTAACTTACAACTCAGTCATCCTGTTGGAGAAATCTAACAAAGCTGATGGTAACTTACAACTCAGTCATCCTGTTAGAGAAATCTTACACATCTGACAGTAACTTAGTACTCAGTCATCCTGTTAGAGAAATCTAACACAACTGACAGTAACTTAGAACTCAGTCATCCTGTTAGAGAAATCTCACAAAGCTGACGGTAACTTACAGCTCAGTCATCCTGTTAGAGAAATCTAAAACAGCTGACAGTAACTCAGTCACCCTGTTAGAGAGATAAAGCTGCCTTGAGTCTAACCTGGTGTTAGATTTCTCTAGCATGGTGACTGAGTTGTAAGTTACCGTCAGCTTTGTTAGATTTCTCTAACAGGATGACTGAGTTGTAAGTTACCGTCAGCTTTGTTAGATTTCTCCAACAGGATGACTGAGTTGCAAGTTACCGTCAGCTGTGTTAGATTTCTCTAACATGGTGACTGAGTAGTAAATGTGTTAGAGTCCAGCACTTTACAGGAGTGGAACTGATTTCCTGAGTAAATGGTGGGGCTCAATTTTTATTTTTTAAAGGGTGGGTGTGAAAGGACAGCCTTTAAGGACCACATGAAACCTTGTTGTTGTTTATTCTTTATGCTAATCCATTTGTATAAAGAGAGAAATAATTATGTCTGTTGACTCATAATGAATGATTATAAATTACCCCTTTAACTGTATTAGCTTTAGTGTCAGCAACAGAACATTTCTGTTTAAAAGCTAGAGACACACCCACCCACCCCTCAAGAGAAAGTGATGGACCAACTCTCATGTACATTACTAAACATGTTGGAAGGAAGTGGCAATGGCATTACTGACCAAGACCATTCCTTCACTGGCTTTAAGTTAGATGTCTAAACTAAACATCAAAACTTGCACAAGCCTAATGATATCATTTTACTTTATTTCATAAGCATAAAATATTGTTGTTACATTAAACACATCAACATTAAGCAAGCCATTTTAAGAGGGTTCTGCAGATGATGAAGATATTTGAATGCAAAGCTCTTGACATTTTGCAATATTTAATTTAAATCTGTTTAAGTATCTCATTAATTTTATTATCTGTAGTAATTTGGTGTTCATAATTACAAGATTGGCAAGTATAACTAGTAGAAGTAAACTAAACTAGGACTTTGTATGCATCATCTATTTTCATAATTAATGTTGAGATGTTAGGATTAGGGGGAGCACGAGTGTAAATTTTGGCATGGTAGGAGTCATCTTCAGCTGATAGGTTTTCTAACAGGGTGGCTGACCTTTGGATTTGGTTGCCTTCAGATGTGGTGGGTGCAGTAAATTCAAGAGAATGCTTGATAAATATTTAAAAGTAAGGGTTGGATCCGAGTATTTTTTTTTTAGTTTCGTTTCGTGGATGAGAGGACCTGGCATTAATTAGTAGCAAGGACCTTTGTTCAATTGTTGTTCTTAAATATTATGTTATTCGATTGTCTTTGAAACTAGGATCTACGTAAACTATAATAATAATTAATATTATTAAAGGAACCCACATTTCCTTCTCGGTATTTCCGCAAATAGTTCAAACCAAACAAAATTAGGCCTAACTAATTGTATTGCAAACATTGAATATATATATGTTTTACAACCAACTGTACCATGTCTAGGTGAAGGAATAAGCAAGAAATTTACATATATGTTTACATATATATCAACATTCGTTAATTTTCATAACAGTCAGATTTAAATGCATGACATTCAACTAATACTAACAATATTACTACTAGTATTTTAGCACTACACAGTACTGTACTGTACAGTGGTTGCTACTGGCAGTACTGCTAAATGAGACAGAGTAGTCATCCATGTCTAAATGAGAAAAAAATCTTACTCTTAGTTAATATCCTCAGTGCGTTCTGAAACCTTTACTGTTTACGATAACTAAAGACACCTACACCTGTTGACCAAAGTAAAACTATTACAGCGTATAGTTAACGTATTTAGCAAACTTCCTGAATGATAAAATTTAGGTCACCAAAATCACCATTATATACTACTACTATTTATCTTATAAATGTAGGAATTCTGGGATATGGACAGCCGGAAAATCACTCGCCATCTAGGAGAGAAGTTAATACCAATAAAAATAAATATAACAAAGATGTTATAATAATGATTGGAAATGGCTTGAATGGGTAATGAAGAAAAACTTTAATATAAGTTTAACATAACAGCAAATATACAACGTTTCGACAAGGTGACCTCGTTGAAACGTTGTACATTTCCTGTTATGTTAAAATATATTAAAGTTTTTCTTCATTACCCATTCACGCCATCTCCAAACATTATTAGTCTGAAAGAGGGTTCCTCGTCATCGAATTCGAAAGATGTTATAAACAACGTGATAGTTACATGTCAACTTCTGAACTTGTACTCCACTTGCTTGAAAGCTTTGGGGTTCAAATAAGTCTTAATTATACACGAATTATTTGTTCAAAATGTATTTTTAACTCATTCTGAATCTTGGACATTTTAGTTTAACCTTTAATTTAACTAAGGGGTCAAATCATAGGCACTATTTAAATTCGTAATCGATGGCGTTATTTTATGTTTTTGTCAAAAATGATACTGTTGCGTCAGCGAGTCACATGACTAGTGTGACGCCACGTTTCTACAACTATCCTGTACCTTGGCGAATGCTCTAGCATTTACTAGATACAGGGTAGTCTGGTATATAAAAGAGGGTGACAACGTGACGGGACA